TATGTGGTCTTCACTGACACTGTGGAGGGGTGGCCTCATTATTGCTGAGCAGTGGGGAAGGTGCTGACTCTCCACTAGGTTTCTCCTGACACGAGTCCAACAGAGAGGGGCAGGGACGGCTCTTTAATACGTGGGTGGAGGTGAAGTTCACACTTCCTGTGTGGTCTTCACGGACACTGCCGAGTAGTGAGCCTCTCTTCAGCTTGGTGGGGGTGAAAGTCCTGGCTTCCCACTCAGACTTTACCATCACCAACTACCCTTTTGGGGCTATTAGGGTGCCTCTTAAAGCCTGGTAGTGGTGGAAGTCTTGGCTCCCTACTAGCCTTTTGCTGGTGTGGGTGAGTCTGCAGTTTTTTCTGGTATGGAGCTTGACAGGATTGCAAGGGTTATTGTCTAAATATTTTCTGTCTTCTTGGATCTTTGGCTAGAGGGAGGGCTTTTCTTGGGGCGTTTTTGTCTGTGCTCATTGATATTTCCAAGTTGCTGACTCTCTAGTACCCGGTGTCGGGTGTACGAGGCAACAGACACATACTGTATTATTCCTTCAGTCTCCAGGTCCTTAGTGACCTTCCTTTTTTCCTCCACTTCTCAGAGTTTTTAAATGTATGTTTTATATATAACATCACATTTCTAAGTGTACATAGTGGGGAGAATAGGGGTAAAAAGCATCTACGCTGTTTTCCCAGGCAGTAAGTCCATTGGTTTTTGATTTGGGATTAGGTTATCTGCTCTTCTGGAGCTATCTTCCACCTTTTATTGAACCATTCAAAAATTATCTTACTATTTAAAGAATATCTTAATCTCATTACCCTTAATCTTTAATTTATTTATGAAATATCTTAATATCTTACTATATAAATTATCTTACTATTTAGTCCTATTTCTTTTTTTTCCTCCTCTTGTTGCTAGCTCTGAATCTTCCCTTGCCTATCACTTCACCTTCCTTTTTTTTTTCTTGTTGGTACCAATATTACACCAAAGACATGAAAAGACTTCTTAAATACTACTTAGGAAAGATATCACACTTCATTAATTATCAGTTTATTAAGAATTCTTAGACCAATAGCATTATATATCACCTGAATAAGCTAGATGTTAGAAAAAGGATGTGTAACATCAGTGTTCCTCCAAGTCTCTTTTGTGGGTCATCTACATCAGAATCAGCTGATGCTTTTTCAAAATGTGTATTGTAGATCCCACCACAGCCATACTAAATCAGAATATCTGGAGGTAGGGCCCAGAAATCTGTATTTTTATGTAATAGACCCCCTTTGACTGCTACGCATACTGGCATGTGAGAACCACTTGTTTAACTGCTTACTGGAAAATAGTAACAATGTGACAGTGCTTGTAAAACTAACACAAAACCTGTAAGTTTAGAAGAGAGCTAACTTGTAAAGGTATGCTGCTTTATTGTTAGTGATATAGATGTGGAAAACATTTTTATATTGAGTTCCAATTCTTGGTATAATTTTGAACCTAAAATGTACAATTATATCTTTGTCTCATAATCATAGAATATGTTTAATCTAGATTAAATGCACTGTAGCTGTAGGCACTTTGTTTAGATTTCCAAGTATAGTTTACTGTATAAGTTGATATTTGTATATAAATATATCTTTGTTTTAATCATAGGTGTTAGGGGAGTATTCCTACCTCTTAGATAAGGAAACACCAGAGGAAGTTATAATTAAGCTCTACAAGTTACTTATGAATGACTCCATTTCTTCAGAAACCAAAGCCTGGTTAATTGCTGCTGTGACCAAGTTGACACCCCAAGCACACTCTTCTAACATAGTTGAGAGGTTAATCCAGGAATTTACTGTATCTTTGGATACTTGTATAAGACAGCATGCATTTGAATTAAAACATTTGCATGAGAATGTGGAACTCATGAGGAGCTTGCTTCCAGTTGATAAGAGTTGTGAAGACTTGGTGGTAAGACATTTGCGTTCTGTCTTTTTAAAAACTGCACTGTCTTCAAGCAGAATAATTCTTGCATTTGTGATATAGCTGTAATATATCTAAATAGAGTTTCTGTAGCATGTAAGATGAAAGTTGGAGTTTTTCACACAGTAGTATGAGAGAGAATTTGAGAGCTTTTGTTCAGTAGTAATCCTGAATAGTCAGGAATAGAAGTGTTGTCTCTTCTGGAGAACTGCAGTGAACGGATTTATTTTCTGTGGCAATCTCTTTTAATATATAATAATTCAAGAATGTTTAATTTTTTGTCTCTTTTGAACTTCTTTGTCATATTTTATTATTCTATTTGAGAATATAAAAAAAAATTCTGCAGTTTATTTTGTTCCTCTACTATCTAAATGCTTTACTATTTGGAATCTGATCACTTGTCTTTCCTTCTCCCACCTACTTTCAGCCACCACTCCTTTTAACCCCAAATTCTCAGCTACTGTTCACCCTCTAAATTCATACCAGTCTTTTCCTCAGATTGGTGTAAATCAGAAAACTTCCAAAAGGAAGCCAGATTTGTTCAAATTTGTATGTGTTATAGATGTACAGTTAAGAAAGAGGAGAGGGTGGGTAGTTTTCCCACTAATTCTGACTAAAATTTTCATGGCTTGTATTTATTTTGAAACTTTGTTCATTCTTTTAAGACCTCAGAGTCACAGGCCTTGCTTTAACATTTGTAGGCATTTTAGAGATGTTTATTGAAATGATGAATAAACTTGCTATACATAGTATTAAACTAGAAAGTAACTATACTTCTCCTTTGCCCCAGTAGATTATGATGATGACAAAACTTCATCTCTTAAGAATCTTATTAAAACTAACTCTTTCCAAATGCAGAGTGTGACATGGCACTTAAATGTTTGAGAATTACCTGCTGTTCTAAATTATCTGAGCTGTTTGCGTACACTTAGCTAAATCAGGAGAAGCAAATCTATAGTTTCTAAGGTCATTACTGCTATATCCTCTTGTGTATATCTCACTTTTCCTTTTCCCCACATTTTTTCTTTACTTCTTCTCCCTTTACTCTTTCTTCATCTCTTATTTCTTTTCTTTTAATGACTCTGTGCCTTTCTATTCTTGCTGAAATTAATTAATTTTCCATAGATTTGTGAAAAACATTTAGATAGAAGGCGATAGGATAGTTCAATCAGAGTCACTGTTGGAGGCTGCATAAGATGTCCACATCTTATCCCTGGAACCTGTGCATATGTTACCTTATATGGTAAAAGGAACTTTATAGGTGTTGTTAAGTTAGGGATTTTGCAATAGGGAGATTATCCTGAATTATCTGAGTGGTCATGACATAATCACCCTTGAGTCCTTAGTAAGGCAAGAGGTCAGAGAAGAGAAGGCAAAGTAATCACAGAAGCAGAGATTGGAGTCAAGTGGCCACAAGCCATGGGAGTGCTGGCAGCCTCTAGAAGCTGGAAGAGACAAGAACTTATTCTCTGGAGCTTCCAGAAGGAACTTGCCAATACCTGGTTTTAGCTCCAAGCAGCCAACAAATGCAGACACCCTAGCTCATAGTGTGTATCTTTTCCTTTAATAGGTTACAAGTCTCATAATGGTAGGAATTCTTTCTTTTTCTCAATCAGAGCCTGTGAAATGATGCCTTAACATATTGGATGCTCAAAAATGTATTTTGCATTGCAGTGAAATTAAGAATAACTGCAAATAATTTACATTGTTAAATTCTTAGCTGAATGATTTGGTATAGATGATTCAGAAAGCTAGAGAGTTGGGTAACAGTTTTAGAATGGAAATTCTGATTTTTACTTAATTGTTTTTAGGATATAGGGCTGAAATTACTTATGTGAATGTACAATCTACTCTTTCCTATAAATGTTTTTAATCCCTAACTTTTGCTCCATTTTAATATAGATAGATGCTTCCTTATCTTTTCTGGATGGTTTTGTGGCTGAAGAACTCACTCAGGGGGCAGCACCTTACAAACCTCACCACCAACGGCAGGAGGAAAAGCTTTCTCAGGAAAAAGGTAATTTTTCATGGGTTTATAAGAAGCTAGATTGTAGGATGACTTTTTTATGCAATTGATATTATAGTCATATAAGTAAATAACTAATAATATTTGCTTTTATTATCTTGAAATCTGCTTGTGACTTGTTTATCCTAATAGGCCTTTGGATAGCTAGAAAAAATGTAGCCTTAAGGTGTTTCCAAAGTCATAGGCTCTGTATGTGTAGTGCCTGAAATATGACAGCCATCCTGGAATTTTAAGAGAACTTAAAGGTAGAATTATGATGTTGATCACTGTGCTGGAGGGCTGACTATACTAGTGTGAGCATATCTGCAGAAGAATTTCAGAAAAACTGTGGTTACTATGGACTAGTGAGTTTCATTTTCATTCTGAGAAGTTTTATATATCATGTTTGTGTTAGAATGCTTCCTCCAACAAAATATCTGGTCAGTGTGAAGTTAGAAATAGCTCAGAAAGAGGAAAGAATAACTTTACATTTGTGAAATGTAAACTGTCAGGGAGGTCTTCTGTCATGATTTTGGTAAAGAGATAAAGTCATTGAGGTATTTGGTTGGTGGATGGGAAGTATGTATATGAATGAAGGAAGACAATTGAATATTATTTATAAAGGAGTTCAGATTGTTCATACTAAAAAGTTCAATGTTGAAATGTCCCTTTTTTTTATTCATTGTTTAATGATTTTGTTGAGTAATTATTTTCTGTGCTAGCCATATGATTACAACCAAAAGGTTGATCCTAAAATGAGACCAAAAAGTATAAACACTTAATAATAGGCTGGATGTTATCTTTTTGTAGAAATATTTGCTCTTTTAAGGTTTTTGACATATTGCTTAGCACAGTGGTACCTAATGGCCTAGAAAATTAAAATTCCTTTCAAAGGGTAATCAATTTCCTTTCCATTAAATCCTCATATATTAATAGAATATATGTGGGGGAGAAAATAAAGTTTTGAATTACCATTGCTTGACCTGTGATTATGTGTATGTCTACAGACCCTGTGGCATCCAGGGCATGGAATGAAACTGGAGTTCCAGAGTGGGACATATGATCCAAATGCCATATCACCTTATTTTCAAATGTCTGGGGGCCATTGGTTGCTATTACTATAATTCAGGGATAGGGTAGGAAAGGGGAGGTATAGGACAAGGAGCCTCATTCTGGGCACTGCCTCTCTTCTTCCTTAAAATTAGTTAAATGGCTGATGCAAATACAATAGATAGCCTGGAATTCCTCAAGCTAATGCATTCCTTTGCCAAGTACATTTTTATACATTGAACCATCAATAGAAATGGAGTTAAGCTCTCAAGTTAGGCTCTTCCTCTCTCCTCCAAAATCTATTTTTCAAAAGTTCTCTAAAATAAAATTGAGATTTCATGAGCTTAGACTGTGTCATATCATGGAAAAGGAAATCAGCTACAAGACAGGACATAGCAAGTGCTTAATGAATACTTGAGGAATACATTATAAAATTATGTATCTTAGAATTGGACTGACTTTCAGACAGAAAGTAAAGGGTAGGGGAAAATTAGGTATTTTCTGCCTGAAAAGTTGCTAAATTCTGGGATCCTTCAAGTATCAATCAGTTCTGATACTGACTTTATTTGAGATTTTTATAAATCATTTGCAGAGAGTAGTAGTTAAATGTCACTTTTATGAAAATGATTCTTAGCTCTTTTCTAGAAAAATGCCAAGTATATAAGAATAAACCTTAGGAGAGTATTGTAAGATACCAAGAATTGGCAAAAATAGATGAGATGGTGGGGAACAAACTAATTACCAGTTGCCACCCAAGGAAAGCATTAAAGAGTCAGTGTGAATTATTCTATTAAAACATTATTTGAAGATGTTTTAGCCCCAAGTAGATAAAACCAGTAGTAAGGGAAAATAGCAGTATAATCTTCTATTTGTAGAACTGTGGCTTTTAGAAAACCATGTCAAATTGAGATTATTATCTTTCAAAAAACAAAACAAAACAGCTGGAGATGGTCAGAGATGTATAGCCAAGTGATCAAAATATAAAGGAACTGCAGTACAAGGTGGGATAGGGAAGGAGTGTGCATATAATCAAGACTCTAAAGTCATGAAAGATACAAGCAGGTTAAATATTGAATTACTCACTTAGGCCCAGGATAGTTTGTATTTTATCTCTCACCTGGATTACTTTCAATAACTTGGCACCTCGTAAGGACCCTCTCTACCCCCAGCTCATGCTTTCTTTTCATCTGGTTAACTTGTGCATATTCATTAAGTTGCATTTAGCCATCTTGCTTTTCCTCATTCTTTCTGCATGTCATTTTTCTCCTCCTGCTCCCTACACGTATACATGCTCTTGTACAGCTAGTTAATTCTTAAAAATCTTTGACCCTTATAGTCACCTCTGGGAAATCTTGGCTGTATGTATAAAAAAGTCCATGGGAGATTCTATGAAGTCAGTTTAATCCTAGTTATCAAATCAGCATTTGGAAACTACTGATGTAGTACAAACCCTTCACTTAACAAATTAATATCTAGTTCATATAATCTAGTTAATACCCAGCCTACATCAAGAACTCAGTTCTCCTAATTATTAGTTAGGCCATTATTATTTTCTACTGCACATTGATTCTTCTGTATCATCCACTTAGCTAACAGCCCTAAGCATTAAACTTGGCAGTTATTTAGTATTCTTGGGATTCCGTGTTATTTCCTTGGAGGAGACAGTATAATACAGTGGCTGAGAGTGCAGCTCTGGCATCAGTGTACCTGATTTCTTACCTGGCTCTGTCATTTCCTATGTTTGTAAGCTCGGGTAAATGTGTGGCAGACTCTTTTCCAGTTTCCTCATTTGTAAAATAAGGCTAATTACAGAAGTTCACATTTATATTTTCTGAGATTTTTTTTATGATTGCAGAAGGCCCTTTGTATTATAATACAGACAGTCTGAAAAGATAAATGAGCCAGTTAGGATTAGTTTCACCTGAATAACATATTAGAGAACAAATAAACAAAGGAGAGCCTTATATGAGGCAGAAGATTATTGCTATTTCCTATTAAAGAAATCCAGAGGTAGGCAGCCTAGGATTGATGATGGCTTCATGAATATGAAAGAAAGGAGAGAAAAAAGGTGTTTTTTTTCTTCTGGGAGGATTTTTCCCAGGATTTTTAAAGTGCCTCATATAGCCTAGTACATAGTAATTGATAAATGGGGGGATTTTTCCCAGAAGTTGTTCACAAAATGTGTGCATAATTTCACTGGGCAGAACTTAGTCACATGGCAAAGGAATCTGGAAAAGTTTCATTTCTGGATGGCCATGTACCTAGCTAAGAACCAAGGGTTTATTACTTAGAGGAGGAGAGTGGGTATTAGTATCTGTTCTATCAATAACAATATGAATTTTCATGGCTCTGATTGAATTCATTTAGGTATACACAGTCAAAGGAATCTGAACCTCAGTGAACCTTGTTCTTTGTCAGTAGAAAGATTTCACATCAAGGGCTCCCATCAATCCATTTGGTACAGGAATGTGCCTGAGAGCATTTTGTTAAGCAAAAACATGGTCATCTCTTCATTCATAGTCCATTAAACCTTTTTGCATAAGAGCAGCTTTTCAGTAGAACTGGTTTGTCAGTTGTCCTTAATTGCATCCTTTGTATAACTTCTAAAGGCAGTTGAAAAAGGTAAAAAGATAAAAATGAAGGACTGTTATTCAGCTAATAATATGAAGACTGTAGTAGACTTAGCTATGATAATAAATCATAGCTGTCTTACTATTATTACTTTAAATATTTGATTAGATAATTACCAAAGTCCCTTCTAGTTTAAAAAATGTACTGGCTTCTAGTCTTCAATTGTTTCTATAGTGAATGGTAACTTTGGTAATTTTTGCTGTTTTTCATAAATTTTGCTTTGTTTTAAGTATGAACCTCTGTTATTGTTTTAAAATTCTAGTCCTCAATTTTGAACCATATGGACTCTCATTTTCTTCATCTGGCTTCACTGGACGACAGTCTCCTGCTGGCATTTCTCTTGGTTCAGATGTATCTGGGAATAGTGCAGAGACAGGGCTGAAAGAGTAAGTTCCTTTCTTACTAAAATTGTAAACATGGGAATGTTTAAATGTCTTTGAATGTAGAAGGGTTCCTGAAAGCTAAATTCTGCATGGGCTGTTGTTTCTGTTTATTGCTCTGAAGGTGTTGATGTTGTACAGTCTGTCCTTACACTTGAAAAGAGCTTGCTCGCTTCCAAGACAGCATAGGATATATGCACATCAGAACTTATATACCCGGGTGAGTATTCAGCACAACATTCTACATTCTTTGTAATCTACTTCTTATAACCATCTCATTGGAAAATTGACAAATACGGAGATGAACATAAAGTAAGGTGACTGACTTTACTTGAGGAAGACATTTACTTTGCTCTAAATGCTTTCAGAGCTTCTTGTCAACCACTTTGAAAATTGGTGGTGCATTTGTCTAAATGCCTTATGTGGAGCCAAGTCTTAATCCATTTTAGGTAGATTTTGATTCTGGAAATATAAATAAGTTACTTTTAGAAACAGAAGTTAGTAAAATGAATTAATGTATGTAAAGTGCCTCATACAGCCTAGTACATAGTAATTGATAAATGGCAGCTGCTACTATTAGTAATAATATCATTGTTTAATTGTTACCCAAAGGCTGAATTTACCAAGTTAGTGATCAATCTGGATAGCCTTGGTCAGTATACTGATATGACATGAAGGAATGAAAATGACTTTCTTGTTTGTAAAGGAGCTTCTTCTAAAAGAGTTCAAAAACAGTAATGGCAGCATTGTAATAAATGCAATAAAATCTCAAAGGTGACAACTTTGAAAGATGACATTTGAATTTTGAGTTCTCATATGTTCATTAAAGAGTCAGTCACCTTATTTTATGTCCATATTTGCATTTGTCAGTCTTCCAGTGAAAAAATGACAAAGTATTTATCAGAAGAATGACATGTAGATCATGAGGAATGTAGAAGGATATGCTGAATAAAATGGCCTGAGTTCAAATTCTCTTTCTTAGCTTCTTTTTCCTGCTCTGTTGATGCCCTCTGCTTTCCTAGACATTTAATTTTGCTGTTCCTAGCATGGGGAACAGATACAGTTTGTGTTGGCATGTGATGGTGAAGGGGATAGCAATTAAGTGCTCCAGACAGGAACCAGAGAGGCAAGGGAAGGAGAGACAGGAACCCTCCAAACCCAGCGAGGCGATTTAGTCCCTTTCACCTGCACAACAGATGACAGCATCTGCTTTTTTAGTATTGAACTAGGATCTGGGAGACTTGACAGTGCCTTGTAAATCATACACACACATGTACTACCCTCAGAGAAATAACATCTTGCAGAGCTGCTAAGGGATTGTATGTATGCTGTATTATCACAAAATAGAACATGAAGTGTAAATTTAAAATTTCTTTCCAAAGGGGACTACAGCTCACTCATTATTTGAGATTAGGAGCCTGTGTGGTAGTTGGTGAGGTAAATCACCTCTAGAGAGGAGACAGTGTTCTGCAGTCTGTGGCAAACTGAGAATAAGGTAGTAGCAAACCCAATTTATAATTTCTTACCTTACTCCCTATTAGGTGGCAGCACCATACCTCAGTGGGAATTCTTTAGAGCTGAATTAAAGTATATCCCTAATCTTTTGAAGGTTGCTTGGCCAGCATTTATACCTGTTTTTGAAGGGTCTGATTAAAAACAATATAAAGCTATATATACCATATAAAACCACAAATTATTATTGTTAAAATTATTGTCAAAATCCAGGCAAAGATGGCTATATTTAAAAAGACTTCTTTTACAATATTTGTCATATCATAAAGAGGCATATTTTGTATATGAAATGGCCCTCTGCTACTCTTATTTATTCTGCTTTTTAGACTATCTATATGTAATGCATGACAGAAAATACATTGGTAATAGGCATGTATGCAGATGAAATAAGCCAGAAAATCCTTTAAGATAGCTTGTGGCTCCTTTTAGGCTTTCTTCTTCTTTGCCATTTTTCATGTTGTTGTGTAGAAAAGATAAATGAGCCAGTTAGGATTAGTTTCACCTGAATAACATATTAGAGAACAAATAAACAAAGGAGAGCCTTATATGAGGCAGAAGATTATTGCTATTTCCTATTAAAGAAATCCAGAGGTAGGCAGCCTAGGATTGATGATGGCTTCATGAATATGAAAGAAAGGAGAGAAAAAAGGTGTTTTTTTTCTTCTGGGAGGATTTTTCCCAGGATTTTTAAAGTGCCTCATATAGCCTAGTACATAGTAATTGATAAATGGGGGGATTTTTCCCAGAAGTTGTTCACAAAATGTGTGCATAATTTCACTGGGCAGAACTTAGTCACATGGCAAAGGAATCTGGAAAAGTTTCATTTCTGGATGGCCATGTACCTAGCTAAGAACCAAGGGTTTATTACTTAGAGGAGGAGAGTGGGTATTAGTATCTGTTCTATCAATAACAATATGAATTTTCATGGCTCTGATTGAATTCATTTAGGTATACACAGTCAAAGGAATCTGAACCTCAGTGAACCTTGTTCTTTGTCAGTAGAAAGATTTCACATCAAGGGCTCCCATCAATCCATTTGGTACAGGAATGTGCCTGAGAGCATTTTGTTAAGCAAAAACATGGTCATCTCTTCATTCATAGTCCATTAAACCTTTTTGCATAAGAGCAGCTTTTCAGTAGAACTGGTTTGTCAGTTGTCCTTAATTGCATCCTTTGTATAACTTCTAAAGGCAGTTGAAAAAGGTAAAAAGATAAAAATGAAGGACTGTTATTCAGCTAATAATATGAAGACTGTAGTAGACTTAGCTATGATAATAAATCATAGCTGTCTTACTATTATTACTTTAAATATTTGATTAGATAATTACCAAAGTCCCTTCTAGTTTAAAAAATGTACTGGCTTCTAGTCTTCAATTGTTTCTATAGTGAATGGTAACTTTGGTAATTTTTGCTGTTTTTCATAAATTTTGCTTTGTTTTAAGTATGAACCTCTGTTATTGTTTTAAAATTCTAGTCCTCAATTTTGAACCATATGGACTCTCATTTTCTTCATCTGGCTTCACTGGACGACAGTCTCCTGCTGGCATTTCTCTTGGTTCAGATGTATCTGGGAATAGTGCAGAGACAGGGCTGAAAGAGTAAGTTCCTTTCTTACTAAAATTGTAAACATGGGAATGTTTAAATGTCTTTGAATGTAGAAGGGTTCCTGAAAGCTAAATTCTGCATGGGCTGTTGTTTCTGTTTATTGCTCTGAAGGTGTTGATGTTGTACAGTCTGTCCTTACACTTGAAAAGAGCTTGCTCGCTTCCAAGACAGCATAGGATATATGCACATCAGAACTTATATACCCGGGTGAGTATTCAGCACAACATTCTACATTCTTTGTAATCTACTTCTTATAACCATCTCATTGGAAAATTGACAAATACGGAGATGAACATAAAGTAAGGTGACTGACTTTACTTGAGGAAGACATTTACTTTGCTCTAAATGCTTTCAGAGCTTCTTGTCAACCACTTTGAAAATTGGTGGTGCATTTGTCTAAATGCCTTATGTGGAGCCAAGTCTTAATCCATTTTAGGTAGATTTTGATTCTGGAAATATAAATAAGTTACTTTTAGAAACAGAAGTTAGTAAAATGAATTAATGTATGTAAAGTGCCTCATACAGCCTAGTACATAGTAATTGATAAATGGCAGCTGCTACTATTAGTAATAATATCATTGTTTAATTGTTACCCAAAGGCTGAATTTACCAAGTTAGTGATCAATCTGGATAGCCTTGGTCAGTATACTGATATGACATGAAGGAATGAAAATGACTTTCTTGTTTGTAAAGGAGCTTCTTCTAAAAGAGTTCAAAAACAGTAATGGCAGCATTGTAATAAATGCAATAAAATCTCAAAGGTGACAACTTTGAAAGATGACATTTGAATTTTGAGTTCTCATATGTTCATTAAAGAGTCAGTCACCTTATTTTATGTCCATATTTGCATTTGTCAGTCTTCCAGTGAAAAAATGACAAAGTATTTATCAGAAGAATGACATGTAGATCATGAGGAATGTAGAAGGATATGCTGAATAAAATGGCCTGAGTTCAAATTCTCTTTCTTAGCTTCTTTTTCCTGCTCTGTTGATGCCCTCTGCTTTCCTAGACATTTAATTTTGCTGTTCCTAGCATGGGGAACAGATACAGTTTGTGTTGGCATGTGATGGTGAAGGGGATAGCAATTAAGTGCTCCAGACAGGAACCAGAGAGGCAAGGGAAGGAGAGACAGGAACCCTCCAAACCCAGCGAGGCGATTTAGTCCCTTTCACCTGCACAACAGATGACAGCATCTGCTTTTTTAGTATTGAACTAGGATCTGGGAGACTTGACAGTGCCTTGTAAATCATACACACACATGTACTACCCTCAGAGAAATAACATCTTGCAGAGCTGCTAAGGGATTGTATGTATGCTGTATTATCACAAAATAGAACATGAAGTGTAAATTTAAAATTTCTTTCCAAAGGGGACTACAGCTCACTCATTATTTGAGATTAGGAGCCTGTGTGGTAGTTGGTGAGGTAAATCACCTCTAGAGAGGAGACAGTGTTCTGCAGTCTGTGGCAAACTGAGAATAAGGTAGTAGCAAACCCAATTTATAATTTCTTACCTTACTCCCTATTAGGTGGCAGCACCATACCTCAGTGGGAATTCTTTAGAGCTGAATTAAAGTATATCCCTAATCTTTTGAAGGTTGCTTGGCCAGCATTTATACCTGTTTTTGAAGGGTCTGATTAAAAACAATATAAAGCTATATATACCATATAAAACCACAAATTATTATTGTTAAAATTATTGTCAAAATCCAGGCAAAGATGGCTATATTTAAAAAGACTTCTTTTACAATATTTGTCATATCATAAAGAGGCATATTTTGTATATGAAATGGCCCTCTGCTACTCTTATTTATTCTGCTTTTTAGACTATCTATATGTAATGCATGACAGAAAATACATTGGTAATAGGCATGTATGCAGATGAAATAAGCCAGAAAATCCTTTAAGATAGCTTGTGGCTCCTTTTAGGCTTTCTTCTTCTTTGCCATTTTTCATGTTGTTGTGTTGGGTTCCCTGGGAAGGCCATTCCCAGATGGCATTTAGCATGAAGAATCTTACGGAGTGCCTTTGGGAGTGCCCTATGGGAGGAAGGGGAAGAAGCAGGTTTGGGCAGAGGAAGAGGTCACAGTGCAATGCAGTGCCAGCGACAGCCTCTGCTGACCCTGTTGGGATCCCCGAAGCTAAGTGGCCCTTGAGAGTTGTCCTGAGTTGGGCCAAGATGGGTGGCCAGGACTCTGTACTTCTGTTCACCAGTCACTGTATGTGGGCTCTCCCAGGAAGGGGTGCAATCTTTGGTGAGGTGGCCCTCTGCCACTAAAGCGATCCCTGAGGGGGCTGCATTCCCAGCAGATGGGGCAGCAAGTCCTTTATTGAAAGGGAATCTGACGGAGCATCTCAGTCCTCAGCACACCTGCCTTTTTTTTTTTAAACTAATATTTAATCATTTGCTAGTAAAACTTGGAGATTTGCCTTTTCTTTTCCTTAATAATTAAAAGATATATTCTGGTAAATGGCATTACAGAAACACTGTAACTGTGTTGTGGGCATTCATGAATCCCTTTAGGCTGCTGCCGCTGAGCATGCTATAGATGCTGAGGGTCATTGTAGTGGTTCCGTTGACCATTTTTGGATCTGCCTTTGCAAAGGCACCCAGTTTTCTTCTAAGAGATTTGACAGATAGCTAACAGTTTTTATTTTAAAAAACCTTGTTAGAAAACTCTTGGTATCTAAAAAAGAGGGATAAATGAAGATATTTGTAAAGGAACATTCAGCAGTAAAATTCATTTAAGAGGAATGGACTAATTCCTTGTTGGGCATTCTTTATTAACATTCAGATTTTCTTTCAGCCAGTTAGTACTTAATAGCATTAGTTCTTCACTCATAAAAAGTATAGCTACCTGTTTTCATTTATGGCATAACACAGAAAATCAAATAGATCATGATTCCAACAAACCAGAAGGGAATACTCATGAGTATGAATATTTCTGAGTCTTTCTTTTAGATTCATTTCATGATCTGCCTATTTTTTAATACAGATTTTTAAAATGCTATTTTGGACCTTGACAGGGATGCTTAAATAAGCAAGGATACATAGTTCTCATATGAAAACAATAGAGGCAGTCTTTGGCTGTTTCACTCTGCACTTATGATTATGATAGTCACTCCAGATTCACAGTTGTAACTTTTGGGACAACAGTAGGTGAGTCCAAATTTTATCACTACTTTAATTCTTCTTCATCTCAGGTATAAAAGGGTCAGGTATAAAAAACTCCTAACCTTCATGCTTTTACCAAAGTCTTACTTTTAAAATAAAAGTACAGTTATAATAGTTGAAAGTGTAGCTAGTGTTCACATTAGGAAAACATTTTGGATTAAAAGGAAGTTTATATTAAAAGTGGATTTGAATGTTTTTTGTTTTTTGCTTTTGACAGCATTTTATTTAGTGAACTAATGTAGAGTTAACTTCATTAAGTGATTAGAGTTAAGAAACTTAAGAGTCATTTCTGGTCTTTAACCCATCAGAATTAAAAAGAAATTTTTTAAGTCAAAGGGAAGGGAGCTAATTTACAGTACTATTTTTGGACAATTTATTCAAGCAATTAAATGATCTGAAAATTTTAACTAAGTCTAGAGTTCTGTTGCCCTAATCCTTCGGCTGGAGGGTGTGGGGGAGGCTAGCTGTAACTAGAATAAAATCTAGAGATAAAGATTTACTTCCAGCATATAGAGTCTAATATGAAAGCTGTTTCTAAAAGGATGAAAATTTTAACTAAGTCTAGAGTTCTGTTGCCCTAATCCTTCGGCTGGAGGGTGTGGGGGAGGCTAGCTGTAACTAGAATAAAATCTAGAGATAAAGATTTACTTCCAGCATATAGAGTCTAATATGAAAGCTGTTTCTAAAAGGCTATGGCAGTGATGTATTTTTAAAAATGCCTCAAGAAAGTAACTACTTAGCAGTTATTTAAATTGACTTGATTTCATTGTCAATCTCCTTAGGACAAATAGCTTGAAACTGGAAGGAATAAAGAAATTGTGGGGGAAAGAGGGCTATCTTCCCAAGAAGGAAGGCAAAACTGGTGATGAAACTGAAGCTCCATCTATTCCTCAAGAGAGTAAAATGATGGAAAATATAGATCAAACTATAACAAACAGGGATCAATCTCATGTCCTTGCCCAATCTAAAGAGGATAAAGAAAAGCAGCTGCTGGCATCATCGTTATTTGTTGGGCTAGGATCAGAAAGTACCATCAGTTTGGTAAGTAATCAGTTATATTCTGCTGAGAATCTGTGTGTCCTGTTTTGTACAAAAAACTAGCCATACCAAAACTCTTGGCTGTCATCTGTATACATGCTGGGAAATGGCTTCCCCAGGTTGAGCCGGCAGTGACACTTTATGTTTCTATAAGAGAAATCTGATCAGCTTAGCTTGAGTCAGATGTCTTTTTCATCCAGTCACCTTAGGGCAAGGGTCAGGGTCCAAATAAAGTTACAAGTATGACCATGGGTATTCTTACCCCTGTGGGTGGATATGACAGTTCTCAATTGGGAAGGGCTTGATGAAAATATTGTCAATAATAATAGCTCAACAGTATTAATATGCCTATGGAAAAAGTACTTCTCAAAATCGTATTTTTAATAGTAAAAAAGAGGAATCAATTTAAGTGTCTAACAGTAGGTGAATTGGGTACATAGCTCAGAGTATTACCCAACCATTAAAAAATAAATACTGCATTGTAAAATAAAAAATGACATATTGAGCAAAAAAGCATAATATAAAGTTAATTACTATTTATAATTATTAAGAAGATAAGAAACTGAAAGGAATTATACAAAAATGAAAATGATATTCAGGGATTATGATTATGATGATTTTCAAAACTTCTATGCTGATATATTATTCTTACAGTAAAAGAATGAAAAATTGGAGTGAAGGATAGGTTCTATTTTTGAGCATCTGTAGAATTTCATCTAAGTTTTCGTGTGGTGGGCTGATGAACATGCCTAGTGCAAAACTGTGATTAGAGCTTCATTTTTTTTAAGTTTTACATCATCTCAGTTCTTTCACCCTCCTCTGCCTGGGTGAAATTTTCCCTCCATTTCTGACCACACTAGGCCAGACACTAAGCAGCACTCTGCCAGTGTTTCTCTCTTTTCCAGACCCCATTTCTGTCAGACTTGATAGTCACTTCTAAGAAAAAACAAATTCAGCCTACAAATGTTAATAAGAACATATCTCAATGCGGTCTCAGTCAACATTTACAGTTCCGCAGCAGAGTGACTGCTGTTGGGTCTTTGCATTGTTCCAGCAGGCTGTGGTGAGGGTACCAGTGGGTGTTCTGGCACTGATGGGGCAAGTTCTCAGTGCATCAAGTGTCAGAGGGCACCCACTCTGTGGAGCTCTGATCTGTGAACCTCACTGCTGGTGCTGAAGGATTCCTGCCTTCTTGGCAGAGGGCATAGCTTTCAGGTAGAGTCTTTCTTAGGAGAACATTTAGGAAAGCAAGTTAATCTCCAGAGTATTTTGCGGTGGGCTTGAAATCAGAAATGTAACTAGTGTGTTTCTCCATTTAAGTTATGCTAAATCCTTTTTGTGATACTCCCTTGCTTTTCTCCCTGGCTATCACTGAAATAGTCAAGAAAAACTGGAGTGTATTTCACTGTTTTAAGTTTATAGGACCCTGAAGTACCCCTCCATCCCAGATTTTCTTTGGTCACTAGGGCAAGGCAGACAGGATTGGCACTGACTGGATATGCTCCATCTGTATCATGCATCCTTTCGGATGGCTGCTTTTCTCTAGCAATCCTATTCTCTTCCAATTTTTCTAGTATTCGAGGTTTTCAGTTATATAGATCAAGGCTATGTTGATATATTTCACTTTAGCTTAATTTTTAGGTCTGTGGTCCACTTTGAGTTCATTTAATTTTAAATTGTTTACTGTATGAATCAAGTTTCTTTTTCTCCCACCTTTATCTTTTATTTCACCTTGATTTTTTTTTTTTAGATAATTATTTTTATTGAAGGTTAGTTGACACACAGTATTACATTAGTTTCAGGTGTACAACACAGTGATTAAACATTTATGTACATGATAATTCTAGGTACCAGCTATCACCATACCAACTTGTTACAGTATTTTGACTATATTCCTTATGCTATACATTACATCCCGGTTACTTATTTATTTTACAATTG